GGAAATATCAGAACTCTAAATAGAAAATAGTGAGAGCCTGGTGCAAAGGTGTGCACCTGTAATCCCAGCGGCTTGGGAGGCTGAAGCAGTAGATCGCAAGTTCAAAGCCCGCCTCAGAAACTTAGCGAGACCCTAAACAACTCAGTGAGACCCTGTCTCTATATGAAATATAAAAAAGAGCTGGGGATGTGGCTCAGTGGTTAAGCATCCCTGGGTTCAATCCCTGGTAACAAAATAAATAAATAAGGAGGAAAAATAGAGACACCAGCAGGATGATTAATTAACTATTACATATAATTAGTCTCATTACTGAAATCATTGCGAATTAAAGGGATGTCATTTTCCTGATTATAATAGCAGAGTTTTTTTTTTTTATTTTTTTTCCTCCCTAATGATCCTATTACATGTTGAGCAGGTTGTATGTAAATTGGCATAAATATTATAAGAAGCTGTTTGGCAGTACCTATCAGAGGCTATATATTTGTTTACTAATTGTGTTTTTCCCTTGTGAATATCTTATGTCCTTTTTATATCTTGATCAGTTTTCTTTATTCAAATACTTCAAGCATTTTCAACAATAAAAGGAACTCATATACCCTATTTACAGATCCTTTTTCACCATCTGTTGCTCACTTTTTTGTTTGAAGTGGTCTTACTCTGTTGTCATGGCTGGCCTCAAACTCTTGGGCTCCAGAGATCTCCCTGCCTTGGCCTCTAGAGTAGCTAGGACTCTAGGTATGCACCTCTGTACCTGGCTTACCTTACGTTTTTAGGTGTCCGAGGGTTTTATTTATTTATTTTTTAATGCAGTTTGTTTCTTAGTTCCTTTGCAGTTCTTTTATGGCTCCTGAGTTTGGAAAGTCATTGTCACATATTTGAGTCTGTGTACTTCTGATTATTTAAAAATATATATTATTTAGTTATCATTGGACCTTTGTATTATTTATTGATATGTGGTGCTAAGGATCGAACCCAGTGCCTCACACATGCTAGGCAAGTGCTTTACACTGAGCCACAACCCCAGCCCACTTCTGATTATTTTTGGTTGGATTTTTTAAAATACTTCACAGTGTAACTCTACGTCGGATTTCTTTCTTTCTTTCTTTTCTTTTCTTTAATACTTTTTAGTTGTCAATGGACCTTTATTTATTTATTTATATGTGGTGCTGAGAATCGAACCCAGGGCCTCACACACACTAGGCGAGCGCTCTACCACTGAGCTCTACCTAGGATTTCTTTTGGTTGTTAGACTGAGTTTCTCTCTCTTTTTTTTTTTTGTTCTCCAAAAACTGTTAAGTGTTTTTTCTGACATAGTTTAATGAATCCTTACCTTCCCCAAGTTATTTGTGAGACTTCTTTTAACATTTTTTCCTTTGTATTTTGAGACAGGGTCTTGTTAAGTTGCTTAGAGCCTCACTGAGTTGCTGAGGCTGGCTTTGAACTTGCAATCCTCCTGCCTCAGCACCTGAGCTGCTGGGATTACAGGTGTGTGCCGTGTCTGGTGTACAAATGCATTTTTAAAAGTATCTTTGTGGCTTTTTCTCTTTTTCTTCATATTGGTTGGTTGTATTTCCCACGATGATCGTCTCTCTGTACTTTCTGCTGTTGTTGTCTGAAATTGGATCTTTTAAGACTTTATTGCCAACATATAGGAGTATTATTGTCTTTCCTGTTTATTTTGATTGGCAGCTTTACTGGGCTCTCTTTAATTCAGGTAGTTTTTCAAGTGACGGCTTGGCACTTCTGATACGGTCCTGTGGTCACTTCATTGGCACATCATGACCATCTTGTCTGCTCTAGCAGCTGTGCCTTCCGCTCATGGGCCAGAACGTTTGAGGCCGTGTTCAGGGATACTGGTGATGGACAGTGCCGCAGTCTGGCTGGGCACAATCAGGAGCCACTTGTCAAAAGAAACTAACTTTATTTTTAGAACCACACACACCAAACAAAACAGCCTCTCAGGAAAAACCCTCAGAGCCTCAACTGCCACCACCGGCTTTCCACAAGCCTCTCTCTCCCACACAAGCTTCTGTCCACCTCCCACAATCCTCCTGCTCTTGAGGCCGATTGGCTGGGTCACGTGGGCAGAGCCAAAAAAGTCCCCCAATGAGCAGCTCCGTGGTCTGAAAGGGCAGGGAAACAGCCCAATGAGCATCACCGCAGAGGAGCCAATCAGCTAGATGTTGCTGGGGCCACTGTGAGCCAATCATCAGCCGGCAGCTGGAAGTTTGCTGGCAGCTGGAAGTTTGCTGGGGCTCCTTTGGCTGTGGCTCTCAACAGGACAGCCTCCTTATTTTTATAGGGAAGCTTCTGCCTTCCCTTGCTGTTGCTTCTGGTGTGTGTGATGACACCCGCTGCTCCCACCCAAAAGCACAATAAAAACTCCTTTCTGGCCCTTTGTACGCCTGACACCAAGCACAAGCGGGTTTATTGTTTGAGGGTGTCCCTCTCTAGAATCCCCAGCCTGCCCCAAACTCTGGGCCTGTGGTGCTGGTCTGCTGCCAGCCCAGCTCTGATCCCTTTTCTGAAGTGTGACCTTTAGAGACGTGCCCTTCCCTGGGAGGACGTGGTGCTCTTTTCTGCCCGCCCCACTTCCTGACATAAGAGCTGGTGACTGGCGCTGGACAGCTGCGGGCTGAGGTGCCCTGGACCCGAGGAGGCTTCTCAACGTGTGTCCAGAAGGGGAGGCAGGGATCCTCGGCCATTTGAACTGTCGCCCTTTCCCAGCTGTGCCAGCTGTCCTCTTTCCTTCTCACACTGTGTCACCGAGGTCACTAGTGCCCCTGCTCTGCTCCAACCTGCAGGGCTTCTGGCACCTCGCACTGGCGTCCTCACAGACCAGGGGGAAAGCAGACGCAAGATCAAGTATAGGGGCTGGGGATGTGGCTCAAGCAGTAGCGTGCTCACCTGGCATGTGGGGGGCACTGGGTTCGATCCTCAGCACCACATAAAAAAATAAAATGAAGATGTTGTGTCCACCAAAACTAAAAAAAAAAAAATATATATATATATATATATATATATATATATATATATATATATATATATTTTTTTTTTTTTAAAGATCAAGTTTAGTGCCGTGCAAGGTGAGGAGGTCTCATTTGCCTTGAGGCTCAGGGGCTGGAGCAGGCGTGCTGAGGGGGCAGAGAAGGCTCCCGGAGGAGCTGACCTTGAACAGGGACTTGGAGCCAGAGGAGAAGTTCTTGGGGCAGGAGGGTGAGGGCTTCAACTGGGATTTCCACATACTTATTATTTTTTTTTTTTTTAAAGAGAATTTTAATATTTATTTATTTTTTTTTAGTTCTCGGCAGACACAACGTCTTTGTTTGTATGTGGTCCTGAGGATCGAACCCGGGCCGCACGCATGCCAGGCGAGTGCGCTACCGCTTGAGCCACATCCCCAGCCCAACCACATACTTATTTATTGTGGCTATTAGAAGTAGGACCTTTAAAATTGTATTTAATTGCTATCAATGAGAATATTACTGAATTTTGCATATTTGCTTTGGAATAATCTGCAAAGGCCCAGAGGCCTGGGAGAGTCTGGCATCTTTGGGGGGAAAGTCAAGAATTGCCGAGTTAGAGGGACAGTGCCGTCAGTGGGTGAGGGGTCTGGGGCCCAGGGCTAGGGAGCAACATGGGTGGCCCTGGAGGGCTTCTGAAAGAGGTGGGGTGAGAGCTGACCTGGAAGCATAGAGAGGATTTGGATAGAGGGGGAGGGCTGGGAGGAGAGGGACGACATGGCAATGTACCTGCTAGGCACTTTATCATTTGATTACATTTACTCTTCCCAGTAGCCTTGCCAGGCAGATGATGATATCCCCATTTTACAGATGAGGAAACCGAGGCTCAGGGAATTGAAGTGACTTGTAGGAACTGGACAGCCTAATTTGTGAGCCTCTATGCTTTTGGGGTCCCCCTACTGCTATATATATGTATGCATATATATGTGTACATGTATATATTTATTGGCATTATTGACATGTAATTCATGTACTATATAATTCCTGCCTTTAAAGGGTACCAATTTTTAAAAATATTTTTAGTTGTAGATGGACACAGTAACTTTATTTTTTATGTGGTCCTGAGGATCGAACCCAGCGCCTCACACATGCTAGGCAAGTGCTCCACCACTGAGCCCTAGCCCCAGCCCCCTAACCTACTTTCTGTCCACAGATTTGCCTGCTCTGGACATCCCGTGTGAATGGAAGCATATAGCATATGGGCTTTGTGATGGACTTCTGGGGCGTGGTGTGTTTCCCGTGGTCTGGTCACATTACAGCATGCCTTGGTGCTTCATGTCTTTTCGTTGCTGAATACTATTCCTTAACGAGGCTCCATCCCGTTTTGTTGGTCTGTTCTGCAGTTGATGGTCCTTGGGTCGTTTTTACTTCCAGGCTCCTGTGCATGGTGCTGGTGTGAGCACCTGCGTGTAGTGCGGTGTGGCAATGTGTCCTCGTTTCTCTTGATATGTAGGAGCGTGTTTAACACCAGGGAGCTGCCGGGCTGTCCTGGGGGGCAGCTTCCCTCTTGTGACTTATCCGAGGCTTGCATGCAGCGGGATGGGACTGGAAAGTCAGGCCACGGAGCCTATGTGCATTTCATGTTGTCAAGCAGCTGACATGAAGTCGCCTTAAGACGCTGCTGAGTCTGATGATTCCAAAAGGACTCGGTCCTTCAGAGTTTGAAGGATGCGGCTATGAATGCCGATTGTCATTGTGCCAGCAGGTCCGGCCTTCAGTGTGTTGCAGCTAGTAGGCTGTGTGGTAGAGAAGGTGTGTGGCTAAATCCTGAGGTCAGTCTGCGAAGGAGGGACAGGTGTGAGTTAATGCTGCCGAGGGGACTCCTGGAGAGGGAGGGCGGGGTCTGGAGCCTGTCCCTGGGGAGACAGGCTGGAGGTGCGGAGGCTGGGCAGGAAGATGGGCTTGGGTCCGTGTGGGTCTGGGGCACGTTCCTGGGCAGCCAGGTGGGTAACTGTCGTCTTTCTCCTCTGGCTGCAGACCTGGCCGAGTGCAAGCTGGTTTCCTTCCCCGTCGGCATCTACAAGGTCCTGCGGAATGTCTCCGACCAGATCCACCTCATCACCCTGGCTAACAACGAGCTCAAGTCCCTCACCAGCAAGTTCATGACCACGTTCAGTCAGCTCCGAGGTAGGCCGCAGTCAGCCCAGCAGGAGGGCGTGGCCAGCCATCTTCCTTTAGACTGACCCTGTGTGAGTGGTGTCACTAGAGCCAGTCCCCAGTCATGAATCACCCATGAAGTCATTTCCGGAGAAGGCTTTCGGAGGGGCCTGCGTCCTCCCTGCAGCCTGGAAATCTGCAGGGCGGCTTCTGTGTCTTGCTGGCCAGGTCTCCTGTTCTGAGCAGACCAACGGGACATTTGCTCTGAGGCACAGGAAGCGTTAATCCTCCGTAGGCTCAAACGAGCTCCTTGCTCTCCTGAGCTGCTTCCTGAGTTCAGGAGTGACGAGGGCCAGGCGAGCTGGCACATGTCTCTGAGCATTTTCTCTGAACATGCAGAACAGTTGGCCAGGCACCTAGGCGGGAGATTAGCAGGACGGGCATTGTGATTTCTTTTGAAACGGCTCCTCTGGATGGATGAGCAGTGAGCACCAGCTACTGTGGCCCTACTCCCGTCTCTAGACGACAGTCCCTCCCTCCTCTGTCACCTGTGGAGTGGAGCCGCAGCCTGGGTGCTTGTGTGTTGTGAACTGATGGGTGGGAGAAATGCCAGAGGTGGTCCTGGAGTTCCCATCTGAGGGGTACGGAGAGGGTCTGAGACCTGTTGAGAGAAATGAGTAACAAAAATGCTGGTGCTGCCTTAACCGCTTGAGCAAGCAGGTCTCAGCCAGCTGAGCTGGCCCAGCTTCCTGAGGAGGCGTGGGCACGGGGCAGAGCCCAGAAGGGAGAGGGAGGCACGGATCAGCAGACATGGCTCAGCAAGGGAAGGGGCTTATGCAAGGTCTCCAGCAGGAACCAGGCAGGACCTGGAGAGGCCACTGCCCAGGTGCACACAGAGGGGCCAGGAGGAGGGCCTTGTCTGGGTCCTCACTTCTGAGGGACGCTCACAGAGCTCAGTGACTGGGGAGGGGTGGGGCCCCTGGCAAGGCTTGCTGCCCAGAGATGCCCACTGGTGCTGTCGCCTGGCCTGGCCTCCCTCCTTTCTTTTCCTGTAGCTGATGCTTTACATAGAAGATGGGGCTGCAGAGCCAGCCAGCTCCCCAAACCGGTAGTTCACGTTCCTGGTGGCATTAGAATCTCATGAGGAGCCTTTCTGTTAATACTGTCATCTTTTTTCCTCTTTTTTTGTACTGAGGATTGAACCCAGGTTTGCTTTATCACTGAGCCACATCCTCAGCCCTTTTTATTTTATATTTTGAGACAGGGTCTTGCTTACTTGCTAAGGCTAGCCTCAAGCTTTTGGTACTCCTGCCTCAGCCTCCTGAGCCACTGGGATTACAGATGTGAGCCACCAAACCTGGCACACTGTTTTCTTGATCAGATGAATCAGAATATCTGTGTGGGCCTGGGCCTAGGCATTCATTAGTACCTGCATTGGCCATTCTAAAGTGCTGTCAGTCACAGTTAAGGGTTATAAACACAAATACCTAAGAGGTTAGCATTTATTGAGTGACTTGGATTGGGCATGTGGCAATAGGGAATGGTGGGGACTATGGCAAACTAGTCCATGCTCTATTCAGCCTCAGCCAGGGGCGTCATGAGAGGAAAGGGGCTGGCATTGCCCACACTTCTGCTTATTTAATGAAGCAGGAAATGAGGATTTTATGTGAATTTTCCTAAGTTTTGCATAAAATAAAATCCAATAAAACATATTTGCAAGTTAGATTTATCCCACAGGCCACCAGTTGAAAGATTTCCTGTACTATATCAGCGTGGCCTCTCTCGTTGCACTTCATGGATGGAGGAAGGAGTCAGGGAGAAAGGACCTGTCCAGGGCCTCGGAGCAGTTGCTCACCTTGTTGGCCAGGGCTGCCTTTCAGGGCCACCTGGGTCAGCTCGAGGGTCCTCTAGTGCTGTATCTGCCAAGGCAGGGTTGGACCTTTGCTCTCCAGAGGAGAACAGAGAGTTGAAAATGATCGGTGGGGGTGCTTGGGGCCCAGGAAGAGCACAGCCAGGTAGGAGCTTCCTTTGGGCTGGACGAGAGGGCCTCCGTGCTTTCTTCCATTACCCGTCCCTCGAGCACCTGCCACCTTCCACACCTGGGTCTACAGCAGGGAAACAAAGGCCAGTACGCCAGGGTGTCACCCCGAAGGAGCCCAGGTTGGCAGGACAGACTCTGAGGCCTGGGATGCGGGTGGGGACAGAGTGCGGGAGGCCACTGCGGGAAGAGGATCGATCCCTAAGAGTGGCGTGGCTGGGCGGGTGTGGGGCAAGAGCTTTCCAGGGACTCGATGCTGAGGTGGTGGCTCCTGGGATCAGTCAGTGGGGCCAGGCCAGCAGCCTGGTCAGCAGGGCCTTGGGAACGCCTCTCAGAACCCGCTGTGGAGACGTGTCTCCTGACCCCCTTGCCTCCAGTCTGTTGGAGGGTACTGAGCTCCTTCCTCCTGACGCCCCCACATCACCGGGATATGAAGGGCGGCCGGAGCAGCTGCCGATTGGATTCCACACGGTGGGTGGCGGGACGTCCTGGCCAGGCGGGGATGGAGCCGAGGGCCTTACTTGCTCTCAGCGAGATGGCTCTGGCCTGAGTCTTCGTTGTGGTTTCTCTTTGATCAGAAAAACCCTCTTCTTTTATGTGTAAAGAGGAGGCCCTGGGAGGCCACGCCAGCCCCACAGGAGAGAACCATCTGCCTGCTCCCAGGGCTTCACTGGGGACTCTCCTCTGTGAGGTTCATGTCCCCCCACCAGGACTGGGTCATTGTTAAGTGATTCCTTCCCCTTGATGGACCCACCGTAGGGAAGGAAGAAGCAAGACCAAGGAGGCCCCGGGCCCAGACAGGTTGGCTGGAATGGCAGGTGGGCCCTGTGCAGAGTGGCCCCGGGGTGCAGCTGTGGCTCTGCTGTCTCTTCCTGTCTCCCCACTTCCTCGCTGGTAACTCAGCTCTTTAGAGTGAGTGGTCCTGGGCCTGCCAGGCCATGAGGATACGAGACAACAGCTGTGGAGGCGAACCGAGACCCCCGAGTGGGAAACGCAGAGGCCTCTTGTTCTGCACTGGGCTCGGCCCCTCTCACCTGCACTTGGCAGAGACGCAAAGGCGGGCAGAGGAGAGGGAAGGCTGCGGGTCTGAGTGGTGGCTGCTGGTGTGGGGGAGGGTAGCGGCTCCCCAGAAGTGGGCCATCCTGAATGTCTGTTGGGGGGCCCGTTGGTTCTCTGGTTGCTGCGTGGTTGGAAGTGGAGACAGAAATCAGGGAGCTGTCAGTCATTAGTGGAGCCAGGCTGATCCTCACAGGGACCTCAGTGGCTTGCTGCCTTGGATTCCTTCAGTCTGACTCCTCAGGCCGTTGTCCTTCCTGGGAGGACAGGATACCCAGGCCCTCCCAGCCCCACACTTGGTGTTAGATCCTTGTAACACCCACACCCTTTGGAGATGATAAAACAGCTAAGAGCTGCCTGCGGTCCCAGAGGGGCCTCTCTTGGCAGGGAGGCAGGTGTGAGGGGCGGAGCTGAGGCCACAGTGGGCGCGGAGGAGGGGAAGTGGGCTCTGTTTGGGGCGAGTGGGGAGCCAGAAAGCCTCCCTCGGGGTTGACAGATGGGTAGGTGTTTGCCGAATAAATAAGGGGGAGTTTTCAAAGCATGTGTTTGGGAAACAGCTGGAAAAAATGGTACCAGACTGAATGTTGCAGACCAGCAGGATACAGGGTTGTCAGGGCCTGGCCCTGGGAGCTGTCCACCTGGGGAACATTCAGGAAGGGTCCTGGAGGGACGGTTGGGGTAGCCAAGAAGCTGAGAGAGACATGAGGACAGGAGGAGCCTTGGGCAGCAAGGCACGAAGTCAGGAAGGCTGGGGAGATGGCTGGCCTCAGAGGCCTAGCCCCAGGCTTTATCCTCCTCCAGATCCTGAGGCCCCTCTGCCCTTCACAGCGGGAGGAGCTGCTGTGGGCACTGCTAGGGCTCTGGCTGGTCCAGGTGGGCACGAAGCCCCGGCTGTTCTGGGCCGTGGGGCTGGGCGCCCCTGTGGAGACCAGCCCACCCCAGGGTCCCGGAGCTGGAGGAAACCCGGCCCAGCAGAGGCCCAGCGGTCAGAGCTGGCCCCAGAGGGTGGGGGCCGCAGTCACTCTGACCTCTGGCCAGGTGGAGCTGAGATGTTCTCCTGGGCTTGTGGCACCTTCTCTGTGATTCTGTGGCAGTGACGGGCTTCTGGTCCCTTTTCAATGTTTCCTTCGGTGTGTGGCAGGAGATGCCAGCCAGCCATCAGCGTCCGGGTAGGACGCGCAGGATCCTCCCCAGGCTCTGGGCCTGCAGCAGGCGGGCACCCTGGCAGGCCTGTCTGCAGAGGGCCCCTGCTGCTCCCCAAGCAGCCCGCCCGCCTCGCCACAGGGCTCTTCCCACAGCGGCTCCTTTGAATGTTGCCAGAGAAAACTGCAATTTTCCTCTTTGCCTCAGCCAGCTGCCTGGATCCGAGGGCTGCAGGTCATTTCTGCTCCAGCCTCGCTCCATGGCTGGTGTCCCGGGTGGGTGTGGGCAGAGGGCATGGAGGGGCTAGTGTGACGCAGCTGGGGTCACTGAGGCAAGGGTGAGTGGGACAGGCGGGTCCCTCTCTTCCTTGTGTTGTTCTGTCCAAGCTGCCACTGTCCACACGGGTCAGGAATCTTAGGAGGTGTCAGGGGGCCGAGAGGGACAGTAGACTGTGGGGAAGTACTTACCAGGGGCCTGGAAGGGCATCTTCCCTGGTGTTCTGGGAGGGAGGATAAGGAGCAGGTGTCCCCTGTACAAGATAAGTCTCCAGAGCCGGGGAGCGAGGAGTCCTCTTGGGAAAGGCCACAGGGCCATCTCCTCCATCAGTTTTTACCATCCCTTCTCAAGGGGGCCTGGCCCCTGGGGTTACTTAGATGACCTCAGCAGAGGCCCAGCCGTGGCCCCTGCATGCTTCCAGGCCGGGGGTCAGCCCTCCCGGCAGAGTTAGAGGGACCCAAGTCCACGGGCCTCCCCACCTTTAGGATGGAACCCAGAGGTGGGATCACCGAGGTCA